CTCCATCTGCAGTGCTGAGCTGCCTGTGCTACGTGGTTGTCCTTGTGTGAGTCACTGCTGCCCCTGCTGACAGTGCTTTCAGGAAAAAAATTATTCCTGTGTGTGAGGGGGTACGATGAGAAACTTCAAGATGTTGAACAAGATGATTCCAGGACATTGAATATCCAAATGGTAAACATGACATTATAATGTGAATCCCCATAATAAACATTCTGTTATTTCAGCCATCCACCACAGCTGGAGCAGTTCAAGGGTTTGCCATAAAACATTAGAGTATAATCCTTCAACTAGTTTAATCCAACTGAGGAAAACCAAGGTAGATGCTTTAAAAGTTACTAATACATAAAGAGAAAGTAGGCATAGAATATTAATATTTCAAATTATTTATATTTAGGAAAATCATAGAGCTCTATATGGTTCCACATACAGAGATTTTAAGGAATTATGAAGATTTTTGTCAGAAACTCTGTGTATCATTTCAGTTTTTGATAGCCTGTGCTGTGAGCTAACAGATATTAACTAAAAGCAACACTAGGAGATAATAAGGCAGAGGAAAAAAAAGCTGAGAGTGTTTTTTGGGGTTTTTTTTGTAGTTGTTTTTTGTAGTTGTAGTTGTTTTTTTGTAGTTGTAGTTGTTTTGGGTTTTTTTTGTAGTTTGGGTTTTTTGTTGTAGTTGAGGGGGAGTTTTCAAGGGGAGCTGCTTTGTTGGGAACATTTTGGAAGACATGTCCCAACTGTGTACTGAGTGTTGTGCCCCATTAGACATTAAATATGCTAAATACAATTGGAATAGTCCATTTAATGGAGTGCTTTACCTAAGAACACTCTGAAGAATGCAGTTCTACCATTTATTTTTGCTGCCATGTGACCACCTGTGAGGCCATGAAGTAAGCAGAGATGAATCTGAATGGAAAAAAATAGCTGCTAATTTTAAGGTGAACCAGTTTACTTTCATTGGCACGGGAGTAACTGTGATGTGAAGCAGGAGATGCTGGGAAAATGGGAATGCTTTTGTGTCAGTGCCAGTTTATGCTGTTGTAAAATTTCAGCCTGAGAGCTTAATTTCCACTAGTTCAGGGAAGAACTATATTTATAACAGAATTTACAGGCTTGGACTATAGAGGTGGCACAGTTAAAAAGTCTGTCAAGATTTCTATAGCAAAGAGCTATTGAGGAATCTCTAATTGCTGGTTAAAAAAAAAAACAGTTTGGGGCAATATTACATAGTTATTGTCTGTAGATACTATTTTTTAAAAATTGAATTTTTCAACCTATTTAAACATTTTTTCCACATTTGAAAGAAGAAATGGTGTTGCTTTCTGTGTTCATTATTCACACTACCTGAACTGCTCTGGACATTAGGCTTTAATAGTGTGCTTTAAAACTTCAAACTGTTCTAGTTTTGATCTTTAAAAAAGAAGTGGATAATGCTACAGATTTGCACTTCTTGTTAAGGCATGGTTTATGCTGAGTATGTTCTGCATATCACATAAAGAGCATATCACTGGTACAGTGCAGGAGACTTTACATATGATCTCATGTTTCAGGTCATTACTCAAGCACAGGGCAGAAAAAAGGCTGACCTGAAGATGTTTGCTGTGGCAAAGCAATTGCATTATCAATCAGAATGTCCCTCCACAGGACACATTGATTCCTTACACACCACATCAGTAATCACTACTTTGGTGATTTAATGAACTGATTGTTTAATGTCACGGAATTCAGAGAGATCAGGTTTTATATTTCTGCAGTAGGAATAGCAAAAAGCAGGTTGAGGGATATTTTAGTTATTCTGCCTTTTTTTCAGACCCCTGCTGGCATGGTGCTGGCCTAGCTTTCACAGTGAAGTTTGACACCCAAGAGCTGTGCTCCTAAAGGCTCTACAGCAGCCAGGCTGCCCACTGCCATCAGCAGGCAGGGAGGGTGATGGACAACAGGCAGGGAGTAACAGCAGTGCCAGGAGTGCAGAGGCAGCTGAAGTAGAAGGTGCATTTTCTTTGTCTTTTTGGTCTTTGTAATTGTCATAAATCTAGGCAGCCTTGGTGTGCTCCTCCTTTGCCTGTGCAGGAAGGAAATGGAGGGGGGCTGAGGGGTTTATCCAAGGTCACCAGCAGGACTGGAATCTCCTAGGGCCTGATGATCTTCCTCACCAATAAGGCATCCTTTTGACTTAAAGATTACCAAGATGACTTTGTTCTTCCCCCAGGTGAAATGTCTGACTTGCTTATCATTCCTGGAATTTATCTCCTCTTTGCCATCTTTTGCCCTTCATAGTGGCCACTGAAGAGAATTCTTGCAGGCAAGCAGAATTATATTCAACAAGTGAAGGGAGGTGTAGAAAAAAATGCAGTTCATTTGCTCCTTTTTTCAGACTGTACAGGCAGATGGGAATCCTAGCCACCTCTGAGAGTAAAGACCTTGCTTTATTGTTATGATGTGAGTGTTTATTATTGAATTGCACAATAGCTGTAGGAAAAATTATGTCTTTTTGCCCTGTGGAGCCACTGTGAATTTGCACACATCTAATGTAGGTGCATACAGTGTTTCAAGTGCTAATTTCTATCCCACTGATTTTATGAAAGTCTGGAGGAGTAGATCAGATGTAGACATATTTATAGTTAAGTAGGACAGTTATTACCTGTCATATATGATATGGTTCTGACACCATTAATGTTTTAAGGGCTCAAAGAAAGCTTTCAAGGGAATTAGATGCACCTTAAAATTCACTAATACTATAATCCTTCCAAAGATGAGCCCTTAATTTGAGTGCAGAGAGTTACAATATTGATCATCATCACTGTCCTATGCTCTGACAAATTATCTGATAGTTTGATGTACTTTACTTGGGAATTTAAATGTCACTGTATCCATTTAACAGATGGTGAAATTATAGCACAGGGTTTGTGAAACACATCTAATTAAAATGAAAACTGTTAAATGGATGGGTATCCATTTATACAGTGTTGATAAAAAAGGTTACATTCTAGTGTATTTAGTTAACTGCAGTGGTTAGGATTCCAAATACTCTAAAGTGTTATTTGAAGTCTGTAGATGTAGTTAAGCTGACATTCTCACATTGTAGAGTGGCTCCTGTCAAAGAAGGGAGGGACTCTTCCTTTGTCTCTCAAGCATATGGAGAAAAAGGAATGTTTATGCTCAGCTTAACAAGAAACTGCATGAGAAAGTGTTGAAAGTGTATTGGATTTGTTCCTTGTATGACTGTTTTCTAATCAATTCCTTGGATCAGAAATGGACTAGTTGCATTTATCTGGGGTAGTGTATCATATTTGACATTTATGTGTTTGAATAGCCTTGAAGAACTTATTTTTTTAAGGATTCTAACATTTTCAATATTAGATTTAAATCATGCCTTAGGGCAAATACCAGTGTTTGAATATGGTTACAGAAATGTTTTTCTACTCCTTGAAGATAGAGTACTTAATGTAATTGATAAACCAAATGATACCTAGCATTCCATTGTAATGGTCTACTTTACATGTAAATTATATTTTGAAGCACCATATTTTTTCTCAATTGTGATTAATCCTTGAAATGAAGGGGGAGGGTTGAGCAGCTAGTTTGTTTTTAATGATACATTCCTCCTTTGGGAAAGATTAACTATGCACAACTTCATTGAATTTAGCAATTTACAATCACTTGTTGAGTTGTCTGTGGAGACCAATTCTGTTCCTTCAGGAGAGTTTGTCAGGTTATATTGTGCTCTGTTTCTCTAAAGAAAAGAATTTCTTATGTCTCTATCTGTGGCAAGAGGAAGTAAATTCCTTGCTACAATTTGAATTTAAATAAATCTAGCACATAAAACTAAGCTGTAATATATTTGATGGATGGAGAAAAGACAGAAAACAGGGAAGTCAACTAATTCAAAACATGCTCTTATTTTGTAGGCTTTTGGTTTTCATGTCAAAATTTCAGATTGTATTCAGTGTTGAGTGCTCATTCTTATTTGCCTGTCTGTCACATGCCCTTAGCTGGCCTTTAGATTTTTTGGTTTCCCTGCCTCTTCTTCCTGCTCTTTCCCTTTTTCAGATTGCACATCGATATTAATGGCTTGACTAATTCTTCTAAAAGACTAGTTTGTTGTCTTCTGAACCTCTTAGTCCCACAGGAGAAAGTAGGAATATGCAGTAATATCTACCTTAATACCTGCAAGTGAGGGGAAAAGCATGTGTGCAGACATGTGAGAAACTATGGTGGATCCTTGCTAGCTGAATCTTTTTTTGTGTAGAGTCAGTACCTCACAAAACATTTCAGATTACTGGGGAAACACTGTCACTTGGGAGTGCTGCTGGGCTCTTCTTTGGGAGTGGGAATACTAGCAGACAGTGCTGGAGCAGTGGGATAAAACAGTGTGTGGGCTCAGAGATGCTGCAGCCTTTTAAAGGTTATTTGGTGGGAGAGCTTAATGGATAATGATCAAGTGCAAGGAGATTCACATATTCAGTCAATTTAGCATGTTATGCAGCAGTGTCATGGCCTTCCCTCGTTCCAACACAAGAAGCAATAAAATGGTTTGCTAACAGAGAGAAGGTTCATGCTCCTTTTCGTGCAGGTGTTGCACTGTGTGTGTGATCTGCAGTGATGCAGTGGGTGGTTTGGTTTGATTTTGGTTTTTTTCCCTAAAACTGTGCTGAGAGCTGGCATTTGAACAAGGAATGGTGATGAATGAAAATGCTTCCTGTTCCTTTTATTAAAAAAGACTGAAAATTAGCACTGTGTATGTGGGAATGAGGGAGAATGACAAATTCACCAACCAAAGGGTTGAACTCAGACCGTTAGAAATGACAGTGTATCTTTCTACTGACTGAAAGAATATCATAAATGTAAATAGATCTGCTAACCTCTGTTCCCTTGCCTGGGTTTTGACTCTGTATTTCACAACTATGAAAGTACTTGGATGTCAAGTGAATCATAGATAGTACAAGAGAGAAATAACTTTTTTTTTCCCTTTCTTTTCCCCTTCACATTTTCCAAAATTGCAGCCACAGGAATAAATCTTCAGGCTGGCCTCAGCCTTCAGGGACCTGGAGCTTGAACCAGGGGACACCTTATGGATGGGAGATGACGGCTAACAGAGATGGAAGAGATTACTTCATCAGGTAAGGGGGCAGTGGGAGCTGTGCAGTGTGGGGCACAGCACTGCAGCCCTGCTCTCAACTGTATCCCCTTGGAATCCCAATTCCTGCTTCAGCCCAACACAGTTAATGTTCACTGCTTTGATTTATGGCACAGGGGTAGCTCAGACTGTGCTTTCTGCTCTTTGCTTTGGTATTTGGTTACTTCATTTGCTCAAGAGAATATTGATAATATAAGGACCTGTATTTCTTTGAGAATTACAAGTAAGGTCATTAACAAAAGATGAATAAAAAAAAAAATGTTTAAAAAATGAGGCAGAAGGTCAGTTCTGACTGAGACTTCCAACTCTTCTCCAGGTCAATGCCTTAGGATTTAGCTTTTATATTTTTCAGATCCTGTACTGCTTTAGTTGTATAACTCTAAAACTCCACAGCCTGTCAGCTACTGTTCTCCCATTTTATTCAGACAAAGCAATTCCTCTCTAGGCCTGAAACTCAAGGACACATTATTGTCTCAGGCCCAGAGAGATGTAAACAACAGTGAAAGGGTGGGGGGCAAACTTAGAGTAAATTACTTCATTACCTGAAACTGTAATTGGAGGATTAACCCCTGATATGGAAATAGACCAAACTTTTAACTTGTGACTGTTGTCCATCTTGGGAAAAGCCCCCTGGAGGGTTTTGACTGCCGAAGGTGCACCAGTTGAAGGCCTTAAATGAAGGCCCACTTTTCTACTCTTAATTTTAGGTAGCCACTCCAAGGCATCACTGTGAGGTCTTTTGGTTTGTCTAAAATATTCATTATACTGGTAATAAGAAAGTGAATGTTTGGATCCTAGTAAATGTTTAGTAAATATTTACTATGTTTGGATCATAGTAAATATACTAGTTCTTAGCTTTCCCATAGTTTTTAGCCCTGGTTTAAAAATAAATATCAATATGTATGATATAATTGTAAACATAATTGGCTTTTCTTTTCCCATCGTAAGCTGTGCGTAATTATTTTTTTAGATCACTGAGGTACCTTGGATAAAACACATTTTGCTGTTCTAGCAAATGTACTCTTAGGTGGCTTTGGAACTTCTTCACTAAAATGGGGAGAGGGTAGGGTTAGCAGAACCATTGGCTGCTTGGCATTCTTTTCTTTAGCTTACACTTCATTTTTAAGGTTAGCATTTTGATTCAGTTCTTGTGAAGTTTTGGCTTTTTAATTATTTAATTTTTGTCTTTATCAACCTATTTAGAAACTTGTAGGTGCTTGAAAAAGTCATGGATGAGAATTAAAATTCTTTTAACACAGAGTAGAAAGATCAAACATTTTTAATTGACTGTTAAAAATCTTTAATTCTCTCAAGATCCTTCAACTGCAAAAAAATAATTGTAAAGCATAAGGCTGAAGATCCCTGTAATTGTGCTTTGCTTCCCTAGCCTTTTTGCCCACAGGCTATGCCTTGGCTTCCTAAGGAGGCATTTGCTTTCAGAGCCAAAGCAAGATTTGTAGCAGCCTGGTGACCTGAAGGCTTTCAAGATTTAGAGCAATTTCAGACCTGTCCAAATTGGAACAAATTTTCTGGGTTAATGAGGGCTCAGAAGCTGACTTTGAAATGTTGTTTTCTTGCTTCAACAAGTATTTGTCATGCTTTGGATGTCTGAAAGATGGGCAGTATGAAGCCGAATGCCAGGCACAATATAACTGTATTAGCATAGGTTTTCTGCCTGAGTTAATGAGGCTTTCCAAGAAGTAGAGGTGAGCCTCCAAAGTACTGTGCAGATGTGAGACTCTTGTTTCTGTTACTCAAGTTAGTGAAGATACCTGCACATCTCATTCTTATTTTCTGCAGACTGTCGGCGTGTTTTCATCTGTGTGAATGAGATTCATTTGAAGGATTAATATCCTGATTATGAGGAGAGGTGCTACATTTGATTGCTCCTCTTTTCTCACTGGTCACATAATGGGATGCACAATGCTGCACTTGTTGTGTAGCTGTCAACAGCTTCAGCTTACAAAAAGCAGTGCCTTAGTACTCATTAATTTTGCAATTTGGGAATGTTTACTAATCCTCTGTAGCTAATGATTATTTTGTTTTGGTTTTTTTAATGGCTTTTCGTACCTTAAAGTGCCACATCTCTCTCTTAAATTGAGAAAACTGCATCTAGGAAAAAAATTCCATAACAGGGAGCGCTAAATTATGCCTTAAGTAATATGAGACCTGTGGTTGTTTTGTTGTTGGGGTGGTTGTTTTATTGTTGGGGTGGTTGTTCCAGGTTTTTTTCTCAAGCTCTTACAAGGTGCTTGTTTTTTGTTCTCTTTTGGGCTCTGGTCTTCCTTCCATTTTTCTCTGCATGTGGATAGCAGACTACACGGAGAAAAATAGTCTGCTCTGAGAGGTAAAGGGCATGAGACCTCTATAGAAAATGATCTATGGAAGCCTTTGATGTTTTGTGCCAGACTTTCCAACCCTCTGGAAGCACTGAGCAGTTTCAGGTGCCAGGTGAACACTGCTACATACCAACACACTGCATGGTTTATAGAACACATTCCTACAGGACGTGTTCCTACAGTATCAAATGCTTCACAGCAGCAGCATTGGCTGTAGCATGTGCACAGGTGTGCTTCCAGAGTAGTAATGCATCTTTCATGAAATGATGTAAGGAATGCACTAAAAGCCAGGACTTTTGGAAACAGAATGAAATCAGGAAACCATTTGGAGCCATGTACTGCTAGCAGCCATCCACCATTACTAGGCAAGATCAGCCCAGGTGGCTACTACAATGTGACTGGGTAGTTCCAGGAGTATTAGATATATCTTGGTTTTAGAAGAGTGACCAAGGAATAAATAGAGCCAGTGTCTTGCCAGTGATTCCTCTGTGGAGCTGCACATAGTATTTGTCCTTACAGTGACTGTTATTTGGCAGAGAATCTCTCTCTGGCTTTCCAAACAACTGTTTTTGCAAATACTACATGAGACTATATAGATTAAAACAGAATTTAATTTTCTTTCCTTCATTTTCACACCTAGATTTTAGGAATGATGTAGTGAGATGATTGTTGACTATTATGCCAATAAAGACAGGAGAGAGATCAGCGAGATGGCATTTTTATTGTCTCTAAGGCTTTTCATAGCCATGCAGATTAACAAATTGCATCACACTGAAGGAGAAGAAGCAATTCAAATACTTTGCTTGGTTTTGATTAAAGATGTATAAACCAGGTAATATCACAATGAAATGTATGTGAGTTCAGTACAAAGAAGAAACATAATTCGTAGCGACATTAACTGCTTTTTAATGAAATCGTTTACTTTGTGCCATATGTACATATCCATTCAACTGCAAGCAGACATATTGTAATTTTGAAATTGTGGGAGGAACAGAGAATCCAGGAGGATCTTCTGGTGAAATGAAATGTAATTACATAGTGTTGGTGTAAATGCTTTAAGGCATGAATGGGAAGAGATGTTTATTCTTTCTGCTGAAGCAAATTTGATTTCTTTTAAATCTCTGAAAGCCCTTTTGACATGAGTTAATCAGAGGCAGCTTTGATCACCAGGCAGTGCTTTTGTAAAAGTGTGAGAAGAATCTTTTATCAAAATATTTTCAGATGTTGCTATCAATTCATTATCTCTTTGTACAGATGGCACAACCAGGGTCATTTTGCAAACCTCTAAAATATTTTTTCTTAAGTTTAGGCCATGGTACATAAAGGTTTCAGAACTTCACCCATTCCCTTTTAACTTGCCCCTTTTACTTGAAATAGCATTATGATATAAGTAATACATTTCGGTATGGGAGGAGGGCAGTCATCTAGTATTCTCCCAGCATGTTTCTGTACTCCACAAGCTGTATTAATCTCGACTTTTAATAGGAAATAATTTGAATATGGTATATTTAACCACTTTAAAGCCCTAAGTGTTTTATTTGCATCAATTATATATGCTGTGTAGTATATGATTATGAGAAATTCTGTAATGTTGATTTGAATAAAAGCATGACACCTATTAAAAATGGTTTTGTGTGAGTATAGTATTCCAGAGAGCAGAAGGAGCAGAAGGTTTTGGCTGATTTTGTATACAAAAGGTTGAGACTCACAGCAATTTTAGGTCCTTATTTTTGCTACTGCTGTGATCTTACTGATTTTTGGGCCTGAACATTTTTGTCCTTTCCCTTGTGGAAATTTTGCTGCTTGTCAGATCTAGAGGGAAGTTGATAGAGGGCAATAAACAGGCAAAAGCTAATAAAAAGTCAATCTTATGGAGAAAGCAATAAATTTTATGTTGGTTTTGCTCTAAGCCAGTCCTTTCCATGGTCTGATGAAGTTGCAGAATGGTTTAGCATGGAAGAATCCTCTGAAGGTCAGCCTGTCCAGCCTCCTGCTCAGACCGTGGATATTACCAGGTCCTGAGCATTGCTGCCACACTGAAATATCTGAATGGTTTGAGAATAGGATTGCAACAGATTTGTATTGTCTTAAACTGCCCTGCAGCTCCACTTTAAGGTGCAAGTTGAAGCAACATTCGCTGCCTTCAAAAGTCATACCTTTTTGATTCCTATTGCTGTTTAATTCCTAAGGAATGAGATACTTTGGTATTTTCATGGATCTGGTTTCTGTCATTCAAATAAAGACCAAAGAATGTGAAATAAAATTAGCTGAAAGGAAGTACAGCCCTTCTCATGTGAACTTAAAGTAACACTGGTTCCACTAAGGTGTAGTTAGTTATTAGATTTTCAAGATAGAGGGGTCTGTTAGGTCAGTTTATTGCCATATCCTTGTTTGCAAGAGGTGCTATTGGTTGTATTTACTTTATCTTGCTTTATTATTTTTATTGATTGTATTTACTTATTCTTGCTATTGCCTGGGAGAGGATGATGGTGTCTGTCTGTTTCCACTTTGGCTTGCTCCCTATTTGACTCCAAGGACCCTGACCATCTGTACTTTGTGCATATTAGCTTGCTTCTGTGCTCCAGTCTGGAACAAACTCAGCAAACAGTTGGGATCCCAGACAAGAAATTAAAGGAAGCACACC